GTGTATATATATATATATATATATATACACACACACACACATTTCAATGGACGTAAATATAGTTTAGTAGACATTTTATTCAACAACGTATTAAAAGCTTATCACAATTTTTAAAAAGGTCTAATATTAGGTCGTAGAATAACATCAAGATTATTTATTGATAGCATTGCATAAAGTAAAGCTAAACATTTAAAATTATTTTTCATTATTCTAGAAATCCTATATTTAAAGAAGATACTACAAACATTTTGTGGGCCTCTGCTAGTCTTACTTAATATGTAAGTGAGAAATGAAATATCTGCTGTAAAGTCTTGGGTCATTGCTATCACAAATTATGAAGTCTGCAAACATTTCAATGAAGTAAGAATTAGAGTTTCTAAATTTCAAAAGACTTTTCTCAACAAAACTAAAGAACTTCATAAAATAAGAACACGTACTAGGAAACGAGTGTCTCTGAAAACTTTCTGTTGGCAACCCTAAGTCTTTCCCTAAAACTCGAACTTCCTCTTCATGGAAATCTTTCAATGGCTCTACAACCTTTTCTTCTTCTCTTAAAAGGTGCATAAAGTGTGCATCATTATGCTGAGTTATGACTTCACTAACATCATGGCTGGCAAGCTTAGTGGCATTCTCTATTAGGTCTGGTCGCAAGGTACCTTCAAGAAAAGTAACATTCGTGTCAAACATACTAAAACCCAGTCTACACAACAGAATATTCTGTGCTTCTATAAAATAACCTCTTTTTATTCAGAGCAGCTAAACATCTCGTTAACCTATGTAATTTTACATTATAAAAACTGAATTAGATTATCATATTCTTGTTTGCGATGAAGCTTGTATCATAAAATCATAGTTGTTCTTGTGTAGATACGAATACATTATTTTACATTTTATATCACTTCTTAATATGCACAAAAGAAGTCCTCATAAAGGAACTGTTAAGATATTTAATACAATATTTCTTAAACTGTGTAAACACCAAATATTTCACTAATAAATAAATAAATAAAATATTTTTCAAAGATTTTAGTATAGAACAGTAGCATTTACAGAATTTCACCAAGTACTGATGGTTTAAAGTATCAATAAATATCAAAATCAATTAATTTTAACAGAAAGTATGGATTGTTGTTACAATAAATGTACACAAACAAGTGATACTAGTTGGATAGATTTTAAAATGATTTTTAATCCCTAGTTTTGGTTGGCAAATTTAGACTGCTTCATTTAGCTATACTGATCACAATGTCAACCAAAGTAGGGATTGTTGTTACAATAAATGTACACAAACAAGTGATACTAGTTGGATAGATTTTAAAATGATTTTCAATCCCTAGTTTTGGTTGGCAAATTTAGACTGCTTCATTTAGCTATACTGATCACAATGTCAACCAAAGTAGGGATTGAAAATCGTTTTAAAATCTATCTAACTAGTATCACTTTACTTGTTTTTTTGTACATTTTATTGCAGCAACGACCCCTATTTTCTGTTAATATTTTATTTTCCTGTTTTTATATATCCATGGAATAGACATAACATTATAAACTATCATTATAGCTATAATTATAACTTTTACATGAACTAAAACCACAATCACAAATTTATAAAATTTAATCCTTACTTTGGCCTACAGATAAGTGTATAAAGCTGTCAAAGTATAGACTAAATTTGTGATTGTGATTTTAATTCTTGTTTCATTACTTTTTATATCAGGATACCTACTTCATTTTAAAATTTGTAAGTTTTTAATACTCTTGTGTGATCTGTCTGGTGTCTATCCATCAATATGTAGTGCCACCTTTGGTTTGAATTAGAGTAAAAAGATATTCAAATAAGTGCAGGATATGTTTCCCATTCATAAAAAAATTTTGTATGCATTTTTTTTTATCGGAATATCAAAAGCTGATACCCACAGACCAGTCAAGTAAGCTGGAGAAACCTTGTAGCGATAGTCCGAGTCTTGTAGGGGCTAGGCTTCCTGATGTGATCGGGTAGGTAGGTAGTAGGCGAAAAAGTCGCCGTTGTAGAAACTTTTGAATTGTTATACCTGCAATGTTAGCGACCTTTTGAGCTTATTGTTAGCATATATGTGCATAATATATCATAACCAATACTTTGAATGGTCTGTTTTTTGGCACATGAATTATTTGGAAACTTTGGCAATCCATAATATTAAGTACAATCGTACTTAATGATTACAGTAATATTTAGTTTAATGAGTCATATAAAAAGTTGTGTTTTATGATCAAAACAAAGGCTGGAAAAACTTTCATGTGTTATATCTTCACTCTGAGGAAGGCACATGGTCGAAATAAGTGACATGAAGTTTATATTAACTAAGGAAAGAGATAGTTATGGCTTATATTGTTGTGAAAAGTAGACCAAAATTCAACATTTTAACATTATGCTATACTAATAACAAGTTATTATAGCAGCTATGGGAAGGAAGAAAAAACTTATTTGAAATTTCATAAATGTTACCTTAAATATACACAATTCTTACCTTGACCAAGGTAAATATTTTCGGGCTTTAATTGTAGCTCTAAAACAATATCCTTCACTACCTGTAATTTGATTTAAAAAATGCTTCTTTGAAATGAAGACAAAGACAAATTCTATAAGCAAAATGAGAATGAAAATATACATTTTTTTTTTCAATCACTGAAATTAAAAAGACCAAAATTCTGCTTTATTTCATCACTATCTGGAATGTTATGCATACGTTCTTTTTTATCTTAAATGTGATCTACATTCCGGTTTATTTGACTGCCTGAAATTTTACGTATTGTTTTTTGCATAGTTAAATTTTTTATTATTTGACCAATATACTTAAATTCTTTTAACCTTCAAAATGGCAGAAGATCAAAAGTTTGGTGTAATTGAACATACACTGAACAAAAAATACATTTTCTGCAGTAAAGCATCTTACAACCAATCCTATCATTGGTGGACTTAACCTGCCCATTAGCCAAGCATTTGTAAAAGTTAAAAAAAAAAGACTTTTATAATGTTGAATTTTACCTGCAGAACAGCCAAGTGATTGTATTATTTGAGTCATTCTTCACAGATTTTATGAACCTGTCAATCAAATTATTGTATTAGCTAATAAATACACATATAATGTGTCGTGTATATTGGCCCACAGTAGAATGCAGAGTGAATAATAAAATTTCAACATTTGTTTTTCAGTAAAATTAAATACCAAATTTTCTTTTCCAATCTCTGAAATGGCAAGCAACCAAAAATCTGTTTTATTTTATTACTATCTGAAATTTTATGCATACATTATTTTCTATATTCCAAGTAGTAGCTGATCAGGATTAGCAGATTTTTTGTGGTTGAAATCAAAAAATTTTTGCTTACAGAGACTCTTCTTTTATGCAAAGATTTTCATTGTTTTACAAGAATAACTAAATATACACACATATAATTTGTATAAAATGGGCTATAAAGACACAAATGTATACATGTGTAAACATATCGGATATATACATTCACGTGTGTGTGTGTGTGTGCAACACATTTTGCATACATTGTATGAAAAATGTTAGGTATGAAATATATACAAGTTACACAGATTATACATTTTACACTAATTGACTGGTTTAATAAGTAAAATATCAGGCAGTGGATAAGTAAATACATATTAAGTTAATATGCACAGAATACAAACTGTTTTGAATAAATGTTTCCATAATGTATAGTTAAATCTACAGAATCAATTTACTTCATTTTAACCCAAAAATAATTTGAATCTTGAAATGTACCATTGAGAAAATGTTAAAAATTACATAGGAACAAAACATTCGCAGATTTTCAATTTGATCAACCCTACTTGGAAGGGCTTAGTGTGATGCCAGATTGAACCAAGTTAAATATTGTTGAAAAGTTATAATTAGCATTAAAAAGTACTATATTTTTGAAGTAATAATCTAATAATCAGCTTAGAAGAACTGGCTATTAAAAATGATCAATCAAGAAGAAAATGTTTTCTTCATGATTGAATGAGAGTTAGTTTTTGAAACTCTTAGCAGCTTTGATAGAATAATTGTTTTTCGAGTTTTAAAGAAAAAGAAAAGTATACTTTCATATGTTGGAAATATTATACATTAAGCCTATTTTTTAAATGTTTTCTTATTGCTCTAAATCTAGGTATAGCTTGTTTATGTAATGTTGTTCAGTTTACAGTGTACCAGGAGCTGAAGACAAGTTTCAAGGGTTAGTTTACTTAATATCTCATTTTAATTTTATTTGATATATTTTCAAAGATCTATTATTTCGGAAAATATCAATTCTACTTTCATATCAACCATATTAAGTAATGTTATACAATTGAATCATTTCCAGACTGGAGGGATGTCACTGATACTTAACAAAATTGCATAACACGTATTACATGCTTACTAAATAGTATCTCGTTTTGATTTTAATAAAAAATAAATTTGATTTATACAATTTAACACAAAAAATGTCTAAAGAAATAAGAAAACAGATTTCTGGTTCATTCCCAAGTTTTCCAATTAGATTACTTTGTTTATCTCTAATGACTGGGTAGTCATTTTACTAAATATTGACATAAACTGTATATAATTAAAAAAAAAAATGTTGCATGCAGTTATTTTCAAAGCTGTGCTTCATGTGTAATTTATTCAGATAATATGCTGACAACATAAATAGGTGGGAACAAATTATCAATTTTAAAACATTTTGGAGTTAAAGCTGTACAAACAGAGTTAGAATTATTTGTACTTGAATTCTAAAATGTGCTGTGCAAATGTGCACTTGACACCTGAAAGGTTAGCACTGGTTCGGTAAAAGTTATTTAAATACAAACATAAAACCATGATCTGAAAATGTTAAGCACATATAAAAACAAGTATAGCAAATTTTTAGATTTTATAAAGATAAGTAAGGATCGATATATACATAACCTAGCCAGCTATAGTAATAAAGAAAGTTGTAATGTTATAAAAGGTATTAAAACAAGAAAGTCAAAACTACAAAAACTTATCCCTACTTTGGAAAATCACTGTAATTATATTAGTCTGAGTTATAAAATTTTTAAGTAACTCAGTTTTTGTAGTTGACTCTTTTGTTTCAATACTTTTTGTAGCATTAAAACTTTCTGTATCACTATAGCTAGCTAGGTTATGTATATATAAATCCTTACTTGTCTGTATAAAATTTAAAACATTTTTATTGTACTTGTTTATTTCCTTTTTATTAGCTATATTTCTGTACGTCAGCAATTCCAAGTGTGAGACCGATGTATACCTGATTTTTATTTTATTACTCATCAGGACCTTTACCAACCTACCCTCAAATCTAATAATGTACCTAACATAGTGCATCATTCACTACTACACACACACACACACACACACACACACACACACACACACACACACTAGTATCCTTTTGGGTACAAGAAAGGAATCACTGGAAGAGTTCTATGAAAGAATTAGAGAAATAAGGTTCGTCACTTTTTTTCTGGACAAATGCCTGGAAAAGTCATTACTTATTTACTTAGATGTAAATTCGCTGAAAGAGTGAAATTTTGATTCATGCCATAAACATGTATACAGTGATTTAGGCAGCTTTATAAATACAATCAGCTATAATTTTGTTCAGCCAATACTGTGAAATAGTCAGACATTTTAAAAGTGGTTTTAAATGGGCAATTTTTATGGCCGACATTTTGTTTCATGACGATCCTTACTATTAAATACTACCATGCTTAATGATAAATAGTAAAAATAAGAAAAAGACCTATTTAATGTAAAACAAGACCCAGTCTCTATGATTAGTGCTCTGTGACTACGGACCAATAATTAAGTTCAAGTACTGTTCTTTAATTTTTTTCCCTGGTTTTAAACAAGCAACTGCAAGATAATTTTAATGTTAAAAATCTCAGTTTTCAAATATTTTTCACTGACAACTTCATAACTCACCTTGATTTTTATGACACCCCCTTCTGCCACTTGCAATTTTTTTTTTTTTATGTTCTTAATTATCATTCTGTTTGAAACTTGTAACACCCTTAGCAACTTGCCCTGACACACAATTTGGAAACCACTCCCCTAAAACCTCCTAAATGGATATCAAACTTCTTTTTTTCTACCCTAACTCTGTATGGGCTTGGTCGATATGACCAACCTTGTAACCACAACAAAACATGTGAAATGAATCTAAATTACCCTTTTTTTCTTTCTAGAATGACTGAAGATTGTAAATGGAAAACTATAATTATTTATCCTACATAGCATAAGGCTTGTAACAGTACATGTCTGTTTTTACTTAATTTTATATTTTTATTGCCCTTTGAATTATGTCTAACTAATAATCCCACGATAAACTATAAATTTTAGATTTTTTTCAATATCCAAACTAATACATTTCTGATGTTTCCATTTTAGTTACTTTTATAAGAAAAAGTAAAAAATATAAATAAAAAACAAGAAATTTAGTACTTGCCTACCTTTTTTGTAATGATAGTACATGTACATTAAATAATTTTTATTTATTTCAAATATATACTTAAGAATACAAAATAATAGCATGCACAAAGGAAATGATGTCCTGTAACTATTATAATTTAACTTTCTCACTAAGGCACAAGTGCCTGAAAATCAGAGGCATTGCTAGGCGCTGGTACATGGAGCCCATGCCCCAATTCTGTTTGACAGTGCCCCGAATAATCAGAATAGAAAACCATGACTGAAACACCAAAAATTCCCACACCTATGGGTCCGAGCCTTGAATCTTTTAAGCTTTCAGCGACACCAACTTTCAATTTGTAAACAAAATAACTGAACATCTCTACTGAGGATAAGGTAGCATTATATGTTAATTGGTAAATTAAAACTGTTTTGATTGGTTATAAATGATGTAATAACAAATGTCAGAGAAAAATTATTGGCAATATGTGAAATAGAGGATGTGGCAAGTGGGTCTGATTTCAAAGAAGGTTGAAGGTTATAAAAATTAGATTATGTCTTGGTAATATTTATACTATAATGAGTATTTTATGTTTAACTTGGGACATAAAAGAGGGGCGATGATGATGATGATGATAAAAAAAAGGAATGGACATGTCAGTGGAAATTTTGAAATTACAACTTGAATAATATTAAATTTTCATTTATTAACTCCATTTTGATGCCACGATTATCCATATATATTGATGATAAACTAGTTAAGTTTTGAATGTAATCCTGTAAAAAGTTGTGACCTTTGACCTGCCTATAGTGACAGGGTTAAATGGTTATTAGTTGAAAAAGTTTTAGCAATTTATATAATTCCTCATAATTGAATACAATAAAATATAGTCTCTATTAAAATTGTTTAAATATACCTAGTGCTATGCAATACATTAACTGTACATAGGCAGTTAAAACCTCCACTATAAAACACTAATAAAATCAATATATAAACCGTAAAACAATGTAATAAAATTGAAATTCAAAATCATTCCTTGTGGTCATCCTGTGGTCATAGCACTCAAAGGCATTGGGTATACTCCATCAATCCGGCAGAATCTAAACGCCAATGCAAAACTTGCCAGCAACTAATGAGGACCAGTTAAGGGTTAAGAGTTGAGTACTTGAACGTACAACATCTCAACTCGAACCAGCTGTGGGAAGGTAGTTACCCTTAATATTTAGAAATAGCTTTAACATAGAATTTAACCGACCCCCCCCCCAAAAAAAAATTCTACAAAGTAAAACTCCCAACCTCTACCCTTTTAATTTATGTTACAAGAAATAATGATAATATTCTTATATTAGAAATGTGCCACCCTAAATTTCTATAGAACACTCAACCTCCACTCTTTTATGTAAACTGAATGAGCTGAGACAAACCCAGCTACCTGAAGTTGGTCATTCTGCCCCGGTATACTGAACTATTCTAAATGTGACACTTAGTTACTTAAACCAAGTAATTAATGCCCTCTAAATTTTCCATAATGGAGTCTCCATGAATGAGAGCATAAGCTTTAATATAGTGTCAAATTTATTAATAAAAATATATAAACATTTTTTTTTTTAGTAAATCAGTCCTAATAACCATCATTTTTCAGTTTATTTATGAATAAATTAACATAAAGGAATCATTGCTATTACCTCTTTCTATTATAAATTCTGTTGGATATGTTGTGTGAAATTAAATCGTTTTACTTTGTAATATTGTTTGAGTTGGTTTAATTCTATGTTAAAGCTATTTCTAACTTTAAAGGTAACTGCCTTCCCACAACTGGCTGCAGACAGTGAAATGCAGTCGGAGTTCAGATGTTGTGGGTTCACACACTCAACCTCTAACCCTTAACTGATTCTTTTTAGTTGCTGGCAAGTTTTACATCGGTGTTTGGATTTTGCCTGATAGATGGGATATCCCCAATGCATTTGGGTGCTATGACCACAGGCACTATCCTTTATTACACTTAAGGATTACAACAAGGAATAATTTCAATTTTAGTATATATATATGTTCGTAAAGACATTACAGAACCATGCATGCAAGCTGTAAGCCTTTATCTCTTACTTACACTTATAAATGTATCTCCAATTATCTTCTTCTTCTCTTCAGGATTTGTAGTCATACACAGCATTCTTGTAGTTCTTTTTCTCACTGGATCTTTCTTGTCAATGGGGAATATGGTTGTTCCATTGTAAAACTGATGAGAGGCATCTACAACTGGAAAGAAAAAACAAAGTTTCTTTAACCCTCTCTGACATTGTGCCATCCCCGTTTGGTTTTGTTCTCACACTTAAAATGCTTAATCTAATAGCATGAAATTTGGTATATACTTTATAAGTGCTTTAAAAAAAAGTTTTAGTATTTGTACTGGACATTTGTTATGAAATGGTGTTTTAAAAACATTATAGGTGTCCCTATAGTGCAGTGGATAGCGCGTTGGATTTCTAATCCAAAGGTACCGGGTTCGTTCCCAGACAGGGATGCCACCACCATTGCCTGGTCCCAAGTCCAGGATGAGAAAGGAGGAGGGTTGGGCGCGGGGCTAGCAACTCCGCCCCGTAAAAACAAAACTGCTACAGAAACTGCACCAACACTTCCGTCGGCGAAGTGTTGTTGTAGCCCTATGTTCCACTAGGAACGACAGGAACTAAGAATAGAAAAACTACTTCCTTTTGGCTTTGCTTTTTTTTTCATTGTGTGTGTCTATAATCATATAAATGCATTCAATAGTTATTTTTTCAATAAAACTAAATGTGTGTGTGTCTATAATCATATAAATGCATTCAATAGTTATTTTTTCAATAAAACTAAATGTCTCTTTTTTCTAATATTGACATCCTCATTTTCTCATCTGTTCATAGAAGCTCTTACATGCAAAAGAAGCATCAATTGAAAAATATGAAAGGAAAAAACTGCATTTTAAAAATATTATTAATCAGAAAGCTCCATTTTATAAATATGGTTAGGTCTAACATGTTTAACTATTGAAGGACTTGTGTAGCTGCAAAAATAACATAAAACACTGATGAACAGTACAAGTGTTGCCTGGTAGAAATGAAGTTTGCATTAGTATCTAGGCCTACACTGATTTAGGTGATATTTTTACCAACTATACTTTCAGTTAAAACTCAGTCTCTCTAATAATCATAGTTTGTTTTCAATAAATAAGACAATCTTGTACCTGTACAAGTTGAGTATTAAATTTACTAATAGAAACAAATAAAGTTTTTCTGCCGTCTGAATAGTTCACCATCACTTAACCACTAGCTTACTGCACTAACTAACCCTAATCATCCTTATCTTCTCATATAAGAATATTCCTATAGTCATCAAATGAAAAGTTCCATGTTTGTGGTTTGTTCCAAAGTCTTGTAAACACTGCATTAGAATCCTTTGTACTCCACTATGAAAACGTCTACTCACTTTCTCAGAAACCATACATTACTGCTTATCTAAGTGTTTACTTTATAATGACACGGACAAGAATCTATTCTATCTATTCCTTTTAAGCCATTGGATCTATCTTGTTTGGAGGCTAAGATTTTATTAGTTACTGTCAAATCCACTTGTTTTGGCATCATAAAAAACCCCTTTGACACAATTTTCTTGAAACAGTCACTGATACAAAAGGAAAGTCACTTGAAAACAAAACTTTGGATTAATCTGTTTATAATGGATTCCAGGGTCTGGGATAAATATAAACCTAAACTTTAAGATTAACAGAAAAATCATATATAAAATAAAAAAAAAAAATGTGTAAAGGCTTTACAGTTGATACCATTTGGAACTGAACAGAGATCAAACATTTTATAATTTTTTTTCTTTACAAATTAAACTAAATACATTTTGCACAAAATATCAATTCTTAGATGTTTTCAAGTAACAATAACAGTTGTTGAAATAACAATCACCCTTTGATGATTTTACTTTCTAATCAAAATTTGATTCTACTTTCTTCTCCAGAACTAATAGTAAGAGATAAGTTACACAAAGTAAAGGAAAGAGTTATGTCAAATTACACAAAGTAAAGGAAAGAGTTATGTCAAATTACACAATGTAAAGGAAAGAGTTATGTCAAATTACACAATGTAAAGGAAAGAGTTATGTCAAATTACACAATGTAAAGGAAAGAGTTATGTCAAATTACACAATGTAAAGGAAAGAGTTATGTCAAATTACACAATGTAAAGGAAAGAGTTATGTCAAATTACACAATGTAAAGGAAAGAGTTATGTCAAATTACACAATGTAAAGGAAAGAGTTATGTCAAATTAGACAAGAAAACTTCTTTCATACTCTCGTACAGCTGAAAATATTTGGGAAACGAAAACAAATTATGGACATTTTAAAAAATAAATACACTAAAATGATAATCTAAGTAACTTATTTTAATATTAATACAATTTAATAAATTGACTTCATAATTAATTCTTCCTGGCTTCCAAATATGACGTGTGTGTACACAGTCTGGAATAACTAAGATGAAGGGGGACCCAATAAACACTTGACTGTCGATTCCTACGTGTTCAAGTGACTGTATATAAATAGAAAGTTTCACTTACTTGCCTGAATTGGAGAATTACATTTCAGAAAACATATGGCACCACAATTATGTTGAAATGAAGTTTGCATGACATGCACGTGAAGATTTATAAACAATATCTGACCATGAACTATTTTTTTTTTCCAAATTACTACTATTCTTCTAGACATAATTCCGTACAATGGTAGTTTTGGTGTAACCTTTTTGTGGGATGCGACATTTTTTGTTAACCTGAACCATAAACAGATCAATCGTTCTTTCTTAGGCTGGAAATGATTAAAACAGAAATCACATTTTATAAAATGTGTGTAAAAATGAATAAGGAACAATCTGAACATATGCAACTGTCATTATGATGAAATATTTGAAACTAGTAACCATGTTCCAATAATAATAATAATAATAGTTATTACAACTAACAAGCTAAGCAGAAGCTAAGTATGTGTATGAAATATCCAATTACTAGTTTTCTTGTATTGTTGATTTGACAGCCCTGATGGATATGACAATCTAGCATGGTTATATAAAAAAATATGGGTTAATAAATATTACATGTAGAGTATAATTTCATTTCTAAAGTTTCTTAACAAAGAACCACATTTCAAGAATAATGGAAATAAGATCAGGTGGGAATTGAGCCCATGACTCCACTAAGCATGACAAATACTTTAACCCTTTCAAACATGTTTTGGCACATTTAATTAAACACCTTTACTATCAATGAAATTAACATTATAATGTATGATACAGTTCAAAGTTTCATATTATCTAAGTTTTAAGTCCTTTATTTCAAAATAAAACCTTTAAAAACTACTTAAAACTTCAAATGTATTGTCACATGACCAATGAGCTATGAAAATTCTCTACTTTGCCACTCTGTATCTTCAATAATACAATAGCAGTTGTATAGATGTATGTCTAGACTATAAAACGATTACTTAATCTATTGACATGTACATTTCAAAGATCTCTGAATGAATGCAGTTGAAACAAGTAATAAATTTGGTCCACCCCTGACAGGTGCCACGCTCACCTTCAACAGTTTTGTTTGAGCTTTATAGCCTACATGTAGAGGTTACATATACTGTGTAGAGTCATTAGAAAGAGCTCATTTTGCACTATAATCTAACAATGGTTATTTTGAAATTGGCACACAGTTGTTGTCACAGAGTACATGTAACTGACTGTAGTATTGTTGACTGCTTGATTGACTATAGCACTTACAGTTGTTTCTTACCTAAATATGTTATAGTTAGAGATACAGTTTAAATTGTATTTAGGTCTTGCTATAATATTTTAGTTAGTTATGTATTAATTATGTTTTAAAATGCATAATTGAAAGGTTTAAACATTTTTTAAATATACATCACACTTTGTCAGTACTTAAAGCTTATGATATTATGTGATTCACAAAAAGTTTGCCGAAGGGTTGGACAACACTACCCAAAATGCTGTAACATGCCTCAAGGGCACCATTAACTTATGTCGAGATGAATAATAAGTGGTAAAGGACAAGAAATCGAAATAAAACATTAAAAATTAACCGTATGTGAAAAGGAAAAGACCTGAAGTTACGAATATAACCAAAGGAATATCTTGAGATATTCTACAAAAAATTAATGTACTTTTTTCTATTTCCTAATCTTAATCATTTCATTGCACTGTATGTTAATGATAATAACTAGAGTTAGTGATAAGATTGAAAAAATAAAATATAAACATTTACCCCAAAAAACTTTTGATATTCATTTAGGATATTCCAGAGGTTATGAAAACTATAAGATTAAAAATATTTTTATACTTAAAATTAAAATCACTTTGCACTGGAACTATTCATAGTTTGAGTGCAAATAACTACTATAGATAAATACCATTTTTATTAACATTTTTATTTTATTGTGTACAAGATACTTATAAACTTTAATGAAATCTTATGAGGTTTTGTGAGGAATGCTCAGAGTTACCATATGTTTTTTGCATAAATGTTCTTCCCCAGTCGAGGTGATCTGAAATATATCAGCCAATTTGGAAAGGGTTAATAACTATTTAAGTATCACATCTGGAAAGTCACAAATTTCTTACTTTATTAGTTATTAATGGCAGGATTCTTGAGTTCTGCCAATAAGCATATTTTGGTGAGATGCCTACTATGTTAAGGGTTTAATCCCTTCTGTGATTTGTCCAAGATAACTTCAGGTTTCAAAAAATATTCGCCCAAGTTAATTTGGGCAAACAATTTCTCACCATATTTTTTAATGATTTCCCTGAATTTATCAAATATTATGATAAACTTTTAAAAGAGTGAAAAAAAAAATCTGCCTTTTGTGAGCTCATTTCCAAAAAAAGATAACAAAAAGCAACAACAACAACAAAGCAAAAAAATTGGTGACAAATTAATTAAATCGAGCCGTTAAGGTTGCCTTATAAACAAGCTTTTCAAAGAAATATGAGTTAATTCTCTTTCAAGTTAACTTCAGTTTTGTTTTCTTACTTCGCAACTTCACGCCCAGTTGTCTGAGAGACTGCTCCACTTGCAAACTTTCGTTTTTCCTCATGAAACCATTATCTATATGAATGGCAATCAGTTGTTCATCTCCAAGGGCCCTGTGTAACAATGCTGCACACACAGTCGAGTTTACTCCTCCACTCACTAACATCTGCCATTACATAAAAAACAGAGCAAGTACTCAGAACTCCAGAGTTATTTAAAACTAGTTACAATAATCATGTAGAAGTGAATATTAGTTTTACAATAATTATGTGTAAGTAAACATTAGTTTTACAATAATCACGTGGAAGTGAACATCAGTTTTACAATAATCACGTGGAAGTGAACATTAGTTTTACAATAATCACGTGGAAGTGAACATTAGTTTTACAATAATCACGTGGAAGTAAACATTAGTTTTACAATAATCACGTGGAAGTAAACACTAGTTTTACAATAATCACGTGGAAGTAAACACTAGTTTTACAATAATCACGTGGAAGTAAACATTAGTTTTTACAATAATCACGTGGAAGTAAACATAGTTTTTACAATAATCACGTGGAAGTAAACACTAGTTTTTACAATAATCACGTGGAAGTAAACACTAGTTTTTACAATAATCACGTGGAAGTAAACATTAGTTTTTACAATAATCACGTGGAAGTAAACATTAGTTTTTACAATAATCACATGGAAATAAACACTAGTTTTACAATAATCACGTGGAAGTGAACACTAGTTTTCTTGCAAATTAGACACTTGGGAAAACCAGTATTTTTTATACTGTTTTATAAAACTATCATAAACACTTGTTCTTTAAGAGTAATTCATTCTTATCAGTTGCCCCCCCAGTGGCACGGCGGTATGTCTGAGGACTTACAATGCTAGAAACCGGGTTTCGATACCCGTGGTGGGCAGAGCACAAATAGCCCATTGTGTAGCTTTGTGCTTAACTGCAAACAACAATATCTTATCAGTTACGCCAAGTACTATACAAATCAGTTTTTGTAAATATTTTATTTCCTTAAATTTATCATAGCTTGAAGCTGTCTCAGCTGTTGTATGATCATTCTGATTTGAACCTTTCCCCAAATCAGTTTTTACACAGTTTACAATTAAACATGATCAATCTTTTATTTAAAAGAACAAAAATTCACAGAAGCAAACAACTTATTTGAAATCCAACTTCCTCTAAAGACATTGAGGTTTGTGTTTTGTTTTCATTAACATTTTGTTACAGAATATCTAGTTATTTGATGTATTTAAAATTTAGGAAATAAAAAAAAGTATAATCATTATTACAAATTTTATAATATGCATATAATTAAAGGGGTAATTTTAAATAAGCTGGTTATTAATTTAATACTCTAAACTATCTTTTCAAGCCCGAAATATTACGAGTTCTCCTTAGAAATGTATGGATAGATGAACAGATGCATGTTCAAGATACTTAAGTAACAACTGTATACAAGGGAGCTTTCAAGAATTTTTGTACTAAAGAAAATGAATTTAATTTTCTTCATATAATTATGTTATCTTATTATTCATTTCATCATATTCTTTGAAGCACTAAATCCTTGCTTTAATTTTAGATGACTTAGTATAAAAAAAAAACAAGCATATAAAACTAAACAATCCATACTGGAAATGTAGCTTGATGCAAGAAACTATGTCTTCTAGGCTTACTTACTAATAATTTCTTTTGTTTGTTTGCTGTTAAGCAAAGAACTATACAATGGGCTATCAGTGCTCTGTTCGCTTGGGTATTGAAACCCAATTTTAACAATATAAGCCCTTAAACTGGGGGCTACTTACCAATGAACCAGTTATCTCTGCTAAATGAGAAAAGAGTATCGATGTGGTTTTGAAGTTCTAGCTAACACCATGATTCAATCTTAGTCTAAAAGTAGCAAGTTTAAGGCTTTTCAAACACTGTAATTCTCAAGCTACTTTTTAAAATCCCCATTTATTTTATAATAAATTATTTAGTTTTCATAAAATTGAAAAGAGTTATTAAAATAGAAAATCAAATAATAACATTACAATAGGTCCTTCACTTTGTCAGAGATAGAGATCAGCAGATTAATCTCTCCATTCAAAATAATATTTGCATACTTCAACTTTTTTTAATATAATATACTAGACAGTAGCACCCATTGGCTGTCATTTAAAACTTGGACCTTCTGATCCGAAGCCTGGAACACTAACTGCTAGTTCACACACATAGCCCACATTTTAAACTAAATATGTGGTCTTACTTACTAGCACTTTTTTATCTCCAACTGTCTTTCTGATAAACTCAATACATTCTATTTCTCTACTTTTCAAGGTGAAAGTTCCTTTCAAACTAGCTATGTCATATAGAAAGTTCTTCATAATTTCTTTGCCTTTTTCTGTTAAGTTGACCTCAGGATGGAACTGGACACCATATATCCTTAATTTATCATTAGCAATAGCTAGAAACACCAAAGGAATATTAGAACATTTAAATAAATCTAATTCAAATGTTATACTTCAGTCTAATCATTTACAAATGCTTGGTTTAATGCTTCTTAACAATTTACATTGGACCAAGTAGATGCTTAAAAACTGTAAATATATAATAAAAAATATTCATTCTCCTGTTATTCTGACCAGGTGCTGCTCAAATTTAAATATATTTTTCACTTGACTAAAATTGTAACATCTAATTGTAATAGTTAACTTCTTGTTTTGAACATAAACTAGCTTTATTGTAACAACAGTAATGTTCTAATACTCAGCTGATTTTATTAAGTTTCTGGGAGAGAAAAAAATAAAACACTAAAACTATAAATTAAAAATAATTATGCATCTAAAATCAACGAGAAATGTTTCTTGGTAGGTATAATAAATAAATAAATAAATATATACATATCAAGTCTTGTGATGTATAGAGTGGCTTTCTTGTTAGGCATAAGCTGTTGGCAAGGGATATTTATGCAATTTTACATTGCAATATATATAATTTTTCCCCAACCCAACATGGGATTCCAGTAAGAAGGAATGTATAAGAACATTTCAATTACACTTTATTGTAAACCAACACTAGAAAAAACCTTGGTGTCTTTCAAAAGTTTTGTATGTTGTAACCATGCTGGTCTGGTGAGCTTAGTTGAAGTAACATTATACACTCTCCTTTACATTACACTTGTGTACATGGTGATATACAGAAAATTATTAATCAAGAAGAGGTTACACCAATACTAGCTATTCTTACTTGATGTGGAAAGAGGTTAAACCAATACTAGCTATTCTTACTTGATGTGGAAACAGAAGAGGTGCAACCAGTAATTGCTACTAACCATGATGTGGAAAGTAAGATGGTCAAATGAATAGTTGCTGTTTTTGGTTGATACACCGAAATAGTTAAAACAATACTCATAAATCGAACTTAATAAGGAAGGACAAGTGGTTAACTTGTTACTTATTACTTTTAGGAAAGACAAACAAATTTCTTGGTCCACTTTTTTTTTCTTTACTTAAAACACAATAAATAATAAAAAGGATAGAAAAACCTGAAACAGAATGCCCACAAGTTGCTACACTTTTCATGTTTACAGTGACCTTATCCACACTATCTCCCTGTGTAAAATATGCCAGCTGTTCTTTCTCAAGACCCCTGGAATTGAAAAGGGAAGATACGAGTAACTTATTTCAACAGTCTTACAGCGATAAAAATAAAATTCAGATTTTCTTTGTGCTTCATAGAACGATATAGTAATATTAATATACCTTTTGCTAATCAAGAAGCCTTAAACTAGTACTTAACCTCAACACAACATACACGCCATTCCCTTTTACAGAACTATAGAGTACAACAAAAAACTTTGTCAATACAAATAGATCTTTCTTGTCTATTAAAATAATTAGAAAAATACTACCTTAAACTTTCAAAAGACTTACTTGAATAAAGGGGACTTGTTGTCAACCATAATTTTTAACTGGCCATCATCAGGGATACCTTTCTTTAGAATAGTGCCACCTAGTGCTATATTCATCAACTACACAAAAAGTAAGAGACTGTCTTAAAAACTTGAATAAAATTAAAAAACTCTTTGTGCAAAATTACTTATTTTAAATTTGTACCAAAGTAATGATGGATTTCTTGAACATAGCCACATCAGCTTTATCAAATATGTAACTAATCTATCATAAATTAACTCTCCTAATCTAAAGTAATACTTTGTTTAAACCAAAAAATTAAAAATACATTAGGCTGAACAAAATTTCCATTATTAATTTTTTTATTTTGTCCACATGGACAAAATTTTATAGTAGAAGTTTAAAATAAACATTACAAAACATATATCAGATAAAATTACAATCATGAAATATTAAATTATAGCTCTTTCTCAATTTTCTTTGATGTTAACAAGCATAAATCACAAGATATACAAAATCTAAAATGAAATTAAAAAATTTTTTTTAAGACTTCAAACTTGGGTACTTAGTTTTCTGTAAATGCAAATGCTTCAGTGAACTAAACATAAGTAAAATCCTTGATTTCATCTACACAACTTTATTTGTGATAAAGGTCCTTTAATCCTTTCCCACCCACCACCATATTAAACAGTAGCTTTATAGAACTCAGTTTTGTAATTCATGGTGTAGTTAACTACTGGAGGTTAGGCTAGCCAGATGAATAGTCAGAAGGTTATTTGTCTATTCAAAAATAAGAAATAAGTATATAAAAAGTATTGACCAGTAAGTTCCATTTTAAATATCCAATTAGGTCTAACTTGTTTTATTTTAATCAGTTACTTATATACATTATCTATCTATACCTAATGAAGCAGATATATAGATGTGCAAATATCATAAAACAGTATAAATGTAACCCGCACTGGTATCCTAGGCCTACAATGATATAGGCAATATTTTTTCCAACTATATTTTTGGTCAAGCTTAATTACTAACTGATAAATATATTTTGTTTTCAATAACTAAGGAGTTCTTGTACTTATGTGTGTTGTGTGAGTAATAACAAATTCACTAATACACACAAAAGCTTTCCCATCATTTGTTTAGTTTGCAATTGCATAATTCCTAGCTTACCGTAATAACTAACCCTAAAAAGCCTTATCTTATGTTTTCTCGTATAAAAATATTCCTGTAGTTTTAAAACAGACAAAATTTCATTGCATCTCCAATTTCTTTTTTAACCCCTCCTTTTTGCTAGTTGATTCTATTAATCAGGAATCTCTTTCACAGAATTCACATTATATTTGCAACTCGTATTGACAAGTTTTATCTAATTCGTCATATGATTGAAATGTATCCCCCAGGCAAAATGTAACACTTTCAGTCATGTTTTCTTCATCCCTGTGGTTTTTATACTTGAGATAAGTCTGCACATGTAAATTATGATTACCAAACAAATGGTCTTCACGCTATTTGTCCAGGTAACCAGATAAAAAGCAACTTCTGAGGGGGGAGGGATTTTTGAACTATATATATTTGACTGTTTAATAAGTGTAGCTTGCACTATGTATATACAAGTTTTCCAAGAACCCATCCTTAGAGATATCAAGAATAAATAGACGAGTTCATTACTAAATGTGTTCTTTCATGATCGTATAGATTTTCAAGGAGGATTCAACACTTTTATAGTGTGTAGGAAACTAAACTGTAAACCTTACACAAGTTAATCTACACACGACACAGATCTTTAAAATACAACATTGTGTGGTAAGATCTTGAATATCTCTCCCCCCCCCCCCAATTTTTACTGTGATAACAAGATATCGCTTAATAACAAGATCTACAAGCAAGTGGAAAAAAATGAACAACTGAACAGGAAGAATTTTCATTCCAAACTACGAACAAAATATATTTATAAATCAATATACATCTTACCTGCATACCATAACAAATTCCCAACACCGGTAAACCACAGTGAAAAATATCAGGATCATACTTGGGAGCATCTTCAGCATAAACAGAACCAGGACCATCCGAAATAATGATAGCCCTATTACATATAAGTGTGTGTGTGTATATATATTTTACGTCTCAAAGACATAAACCAGTAAGATTTTAGTAACAATAAGAACACATGTTATTATACCTAACACACATTTTTAGCCTGGATTAACAAAAATCTAATTTTTGCAAGCTAGAAGAAAAATACATTTGCCAATTAAAAAATTTACTGCAAAATTTTAATTAATAATAGAACTGGTTTTACTGTATTTATATTGCTTTGCATAGTTGTTGTCTTATGCAAACTTCATGCCCAACATGAAATTAAGTGTTAAGGTTACTGTTTATATAAAGACAGTAAAAACTTATTTTCTTTTTATAATTGATACATGAAACCATCAGTACTTGGTGAAACTCAATAATTATAGAATTGAGGAAAAACAAGAAATTGTACATTTAACAAAAACATCTATTTATTCAGGACCACGGTTTCACCAATACTTCATAATGCCTTTACTGGCGAATCGATGGTCGTGAATAAACAATGTATTTGTGAAGTGTACAATTGTCTTGTTTTTCCTCAGTTCTGTTATTTTCTTTCATTAAAGTACTGTGCCTTCACAATATTAACTGATGAAAACTACAAGTTAATATCTTCCACTAGTAAAATATCAAATACACCTGAACGTAGTGACCATTCTCTCATATTCAGTCTTACATACATTAGCCACAATCACTACTTAAAATGTATTTATTATCTAACCCTATACGTAAACACTTCTAAGTCAAAAACCTATGAAACATAAACAACAACAAATTTTATACATGTGCATTATTGTGCCTTTGTAGACGACATGTGTGCGTCACTGATATCTTTTTGTAGACGACGTGTGTGTGTCACTGATATCTTTTTGTAGACGACGTGCATGTGTTACTGATATCTTTTGATTTTTAATTTCTTACAATGAAAATATTAAACTGAAATGTGTGAAACTTAGAACAAACTGACCAAATACATCAGCTACATTTTGTTAGTGCTTGAATTGTCAACTGTCAAATTTTCAGCTACATAATACTTGTAGTGCATCAACTTTGTTTTTATGGTACCCCCTTTTCTTAACATGCATTTTGTTGCCCCTATCTGTCAGCACCCCATATAACCTGTTTGTGTATGTACTGTACATCATTTTCCCATGTAAATTATTGTTGTATTATTTAATAGTAATAATATTTGTAGAATAGTATTAAAAAATTAATCATTTTTAAATATGTTCTTTCAGGTATAAATTATATGCTCCTATAGTCCTAGTTGTGAGCTCCCTGTACTGACTCTCTGTGCTCTCACACCACAGTTTACATAACGTGACCAGCTGGCATTAGACAACTGTAGTTTAGCTATCAAGGTTGTTTAATATATTTATTAGAGAAAAATCTTCTTGGGATTTAGCAACAGAAAATAAACAAGTTGCCCTAGTATCGTGTATATGCACATTTATTTTAAAGTAAAGCTTTGGATATATGGTAAGGACAACATAAATGAGGATATAAACAATATTATCCATCCACAAGACACTAAAACTGGTGTATTAAAAACAGAAGAAAAACAGTAATGTGAGCCTGCATTTGACAAATCCCAAAAGTTGTAAAAGAAGTACGAAAAAATAAATTATGAGTGATTTTGTTTTATAAAAATGTAAAACTAATTCCCCTTTTAACCAAAATAATTACAAAATTAATTGGAAGAACCAACTAATTAAAAAAACAAACATTTTTAGGTAAAATACATTACATTTATTTTAAACAATCATTTTATACATAAATTAGGATCATTCTGAAATATTGTTCCTAACTTACTTAAAGCCTTCTTTTATCAATGTCTGGGCACTTGTATTGAAAGGGACAATTACTGACTCCACACACAGTTCACGGACAAGTTGGTCAATCACCTAAATTTGAAACAAGAATTATTGTTAGGTTTAAGAAAAATTCAAAAGTAAAAAGATGCAACAGACAAACCCCAAAAGCAAAGTTGATATTTCTTCTAAAAATGGTCTTGGTAGTAAAAATCTAGTTTACAAATTCATAATTAATGTAACAAGTCTCGTCCTGGTCAGAAAAGGAAATAGCAATCTACAGTGAACTTTTCTAAAATAATTACACTGGAATTCAAATTCCAAAGAAGAATTAAAACATTTTATACCATGAAACCTACTTTACTAAAAAAATTGCTTATAAATACCAGCTGTTCACAGGCACCTTTTAATGATACAACCACAAATATGTGACCAGAAGGAACTACTGCAAAGCACCTTCTCTTTGATATGTACATAAACCGGTGGATACAGTCTTGTGGATTGTCCTTATTTAGGATGTATTAACATAAACTGGTGGATACAGTCTTGTGGATCGTCCTTATTTAGGATGTATTAACATAAACTGGTGGATACAGTCTTGTGGATCGTCCTTATTTAGGATGTATTAACATAAACTGGTGGATACAGTCTTGTGGATCATCCTTATTTAAGATGTATTAACATAAACTGGTGGATACAGTCTTGTGGATCATCCTTATTTAGGATGTATTAACATAAACTGGTGGATACAGTCTTGTGGATAGTCCTTATTTAGGATGTATTAACATAAACTGGTGGATACAGTCTTGTGGATAGTCCTTATCTAGGATGTATTAAATTACTACTTTAGAAAATGCTACAAACCTCATATCAAAACAAAGTTTAAACATTGTATTAATTTTCATCTTCCAACTACTTTTACAGACTTGAGAAGTACTCACCTTCCCATATTGAGTTCCAGCATCAAGAATGACTACTTTCTGGGAGTGCAAGATGCCATTGACGTGGCTTTCCTGCCCTGTGTCGTGCATGACACAGCCTCCACAACACTATAAAAAAAAAATTTAGAATCTTTGCTCTAGCTTGTTTAAGAAATGAAACCTAAACCCATTTCTACACCTCACTCAGTATTTTTAAATATTTCATAACTACTTTCAGTATTTTACAATGTTTCTGATGATATGTAAAAAAGATAGTTTCCATATCTTACATCACAGGTGAATCTAGAAACAAACACAATGCTCTCAAATAAAAATATACCTACAAATGGTGAGATGACTGGTCATAGTGTGCTATTGCTAGGGGCACCTGGGGGCATGTCCCCCAGAAAATTGACATCCAGAACTGATGTTAAAAACACAGGTTCTGCATAAATTTGAAAATGCAGAAACCAGTGGTGTATCTATGTATTAGAATGATTCTATAAAAGGATATTAAACATATGTATACATTTATTCATCTTTCTGAATAATTATTTTGCAAAACAAGGCTACAACATCATTCCAGTTAACTTTTCAAAAAGTCTAACCTTCTATTGCCCTCTTATGAACACAAACATAATTGATATAACCAAGATGTTATGACAAAGTGTTCAATTTCAAATGTCAATAATCTGTTGTTACTATAGCAACAGCTCAAACACAACTATAGTAGAGGCAACAGACAAAAATAGACATGCACGGTAAAGTCAATTATGAACAATGGTATTACTTGTGCACCAAATAGTACTAACCCTTCCCACTAGCCTCCAGACACTATTTGTTCTTGATTTTATTCTGTATGCATGGCATTTTTTTTTTTCCATAAAACATGCATCTTTAAAAATGTTTTTGAAAACACCTGCTCACTTGCAGGTAAAACTAAGACAAACCTCAACAGTTAATTTAATTCATGCAGATATTTTATTGGCTTATCCAAATTATGTACTGCATGAGCAAAATGTTTGCTACCACTTTAGAGCTGGATAATTAATGGCATTTGATTAGTAAAATAGTATACTGTCCTCCAAACCGTGGTACACACAAGCAAACAAAAAAAGGTGGCTGATGATTCTGCCAACCAGTTGCCTTCCCTCTAGTCAGCAGTTCAAAATTAGTGACAGGTATCCTTAGTAGCTTTACCGTAACAAAGACAGGACAAGTATCTTTGATGGCAATGAGTCCAAGACTCTCAAATCAGACTTAGGCCTGATATGATCTGCAGATGTATGTTATGGTGGTTGTATGTGCTATAAAAGACTTGGACAAGCATGTGTCAGGTAATCACTACAGTGTAGCAGTGCTATAAATGACTTGGACAAGCATGTGTCAGGTAATCTCTATAGTGTAGCAGTGCTATAAATGACTTGGACAAGCATGTGTCAGGTAATCTCTACAGTGTAGTAGTGCTATAAATGACTTGGACAAGCATGTGTATATTTTGTAGGACTTAAAAAGAGTAAGCAGTTTTTTATAGCATGTTGGTCCCTTGGTCAAGACATTTTTTTTAAATTCCACACATCCTAAAGAGAAATCCCTCCCTCCCCAAGTGAATTTTTCTTGCACCTTCAATCAAGGTTCCCAAAATTATTTCCTTATTTTTCACTGTGTCTGATAAAAGCACTTCAATGACAAAATCCCATAATCAATAGTTTCTTTACTTTTCTTTTCCTTCCCAATGTTGCCATTTTTCCTTTTAATTGTTTTTCATGACCCAAAATTTTTAAAATCTCAAGATAATTCCCATATTTTTTAGACAATTATTTGGAAGAATATTTATCCCTGACATGTGATCTAAATTATGATATCCCAAACACATTATCTTGCACATTAAAGGCCATTTACCTAATATATATCTAATTAACCACCTTATCTGAATCATTCTGCAGTGCAACATCCTCAATACAGCTACAGGTTGTCCATAATTAACAAGAACAGTTTTACTTGAGTCCATTAATAACTTTTACTTTCTCTTGTCTAACCACTTCACAATTAAATTTACAAGTCTTTTCTCACCAATGTGATTTTCTTAGTTAATCCTTTGTGTGACACTTTACAGAAAGATTTTTGAAAAATCAAAGTACACCAAGCCCATACTTTCTCATTCTTCATTTAACACATAATCAAATAAAAGGTCAACAGTTCAGTGAAAAAATATTTTTCTTTAGTGAATCTATGTTGATTTCCTTTTATATTCTTTGCTAGATGATTGCACAAAGATTTCATCAAGCTCTTTATGTATTTTTTTCCACTACAGAACTATGACTAAGTGGTGTATAATTTCCAAGGTAACTCTTACCATATCCTCTTAAAAAATTCTCCAATCCTCAGGCCCCTGCCCACTGCCTGTTGACCCACCAAAAATGAAAGCATTTTAGATTTAAAAAAGTCAACAAATGGTATAAAAAACAGGTCTAGCATTTCCTAGTTATAAAATGATACATTTCACATAAATCTGGACTCCATATTTAGAATCTAGTTACTTAAAAGCATAAAAAAATGTCGATTTTACTGTTTGCATTTTTTTCCAGCATGGATCAGTATGTAATTTTTTGTTGTGTAAGACAAACTTGTAACAGATGCTGACTGCTGAATTAGCGAGTGATTTATGGTTTACCTTTTAATTAAAGCAAAATTAAACTTTTCTGGTCTTCATACTGACTAGTAGTAGTACTATTAGTAGTGGCAGTTAAATGCCTACATTATTAACAAAAACATGGAAACAGAACTCAGAAGGTTAATCTAATTTCTAAAGCCAATGTACCACTATATGTCTATTCAGGCTATTGTGTATTTCATATATCGGTTTTCAGCCAGTTGTTCTATTTGTTATTCCACTTTTCGATCAAGTGTAGGCCTACTGACCACAACAAAGCAGTTCATTGGCCACTGATATGCATACTCCCGTTTGATATAGTA